CAAGGATAACAGCTGAGGGCCCAAGCCGTCATCTCCAGGAACAAGGACAGCTGCCTCAAACTGGTCTGCACTGTCTTCGCAAATCTAAAGCAACCACAACAGAACATCCATTACTGCTGAGATAGACACAGTGGCGGGGGAGACTAACAACGCACAAAGAGGCGCATTTCTCTTCCTTTGGGATAGGGCTGGTTCTTGAATTCTCTCTAGGCAAAGCCAGATTTAAGAGATCAAAAGTAAGACCATGCACACGGCACATTGCCATTTGTAGAAAGAAGAACAGTTTCTTTCGCTTACAATTCCTTCATTGTGTGCATTCGAATATAAGAATGAGGGATTCTAGCCAGCACATTATACACTTCAGCAACACATGCAAGCTGCCCCAAGATTCCTGAAGACATCAGCAAACTTGTCAAAGAAAGCGATTCATGCCTCTGGCTCATGGAGAATGGCCACCCTACATCACATCCATCCATGAGGACCAAACACAATTTCTTTGTCACAATTCTTGAAATTCTTGTCCATGCTGCAGGCATTGATTTGGAAGCCTCCGAATCCAGCAAGAAAGCACACAGAAACGATATGGGCGCCGCATGGGTCTCCACAAGACCTTCCAGGAGCACACAGGGAAATGCAAGCGCTCTGCCCACTTTCTGCCATGCCACTTTGAGCCCCATAATGCACATATCCAACCCAGTTCCCCTCTGGTCCTGACATCAATGCATTAGCAGCACATGTCACTGTCTATGCCAACTCCAGACATGCTTGTTGCCACACCGCATGAGGATAGCATTCTTGCTTAGATAAACAGACTGGAGATCACAACAGGAGCATCCATTCAAGGAGACTGCACCAGAAAATGCCTGCCGGTCACCAACAAATTCACTAATATGGATGTGCACACTCTGATTCACATAACGAACACTACATTCTGCGCACTTTGAAGATGGTGTCGAGTGCGCCTTCCTGCCGACACACATCTTGCGATTCCAGGGACTGGCCGAGTGCTGGGAGGAGTTCTGGCCAGCCAGCCATCTTCACAGTGTGAACAATGGAGGCGATCGCTGTGCCCGCTGTTTGCCGCAAGGGGCGATAATTCAAACCCATCGTGTGAAGAAGAACATTCTGGTAGGCAGCACACCAATATATTGGCTCAGGAGAGTATTGTCACTGTTGCAAAAGGAGTGCATGGTTCCACAGTACACAGCATTTTGTCCCGCTTTCGTGACGGCCTCCAATATGTACACCGCCTGAACCCTCATCACCCAAGTGGCCAACAGTCCCCACCTGAAAGGCTCACTGGCAAGGGGCATTCCTCTCTATGCCATTGAGCAACTTCATATTGCCAGAAACTGATTCATTAACAGGGACAATCCGCCATTGAGGAATTTGAAAAGCTCCATTGACAAGAACTGTCCGCAGCAGCAGTGATGGTGCAAGGGGCAGCAACCCGGAACAGGCTTCAGGACGGCCTCTGCAACAACCTCGTCGGCTGCCACAGCCAAGCAGCCATTCGACGGTCAGCTCCCCACCTGTATGTACTGCCTATATTCCGGCTTTGTGGTGCCGATCTGCCCTTTCAGGTTGTTCTTCAGCAGCAGTCCGGCGCTCTGTCGGACCTGCAAGTCGCGAAGCGACATCCACTTGAGAGGAAATTACGCGCCAGGATTGCACAGCAACGATTGGGCAACGGGTATTGAAAACACAGATTGGATGCGCAGGGAATTGGCCGGCTGCGCAATATCCCCAAGGCGACAAGACAGCCCGGCACGGGGACGGCCATCGCTAGGCGGGCGCCTCAACGAAGGGCCGTCACGGGATTGACCGCCACCGCTTCCGCGCACCTCCACGGGCAAGTTTTCGGAGCTCCCCAGTATGTAAGCCAGGTAGTTGTTGAACTCCGGGTTCTGCGTGGCCGTGTTCAGCTGCTGGTAGATCTGCAAGAAAACGGGCAGCGGCCGATGACTCCCGCGTCCACGACACATGGGGGCCATCTAGCCGGCCCCGATCATCGCCAATCCCCGCGAATGGGGCATCGCCCGACACGGCCGAAAAAAGGCGGCGGCTGTCCGCGCCGAGACCACGCACACCCCCATCAGGCGCCGGCGACGCGCAATCGGCCGCGTCGGAAATCCCAATCGGGCTCGCCGGGCTCCGGGGGCCGCGTCTCGGCGCCGGCGCGGCCCCTGGCCGCGGTTACGCGGTGTCGAACTCTCGAACTCTCGGTTGAGAGATGCGCGACTCGCCCGGCGATCGCGCGGCGCGCCGCGCGCCCGCCCCCCCTCGTGCCTCCCCGCTCGTCCCGGGGCGCGCGGGGCGCGCAGCGGCGCGCGCCCTTGCGGCGCAACGACGCCGTGATCAGCGGCCGCGTCAGCGAGATCCCCGCGCCCAGCCACCGGGGAATCCCGAACAATCAGATGAACCAGGCATCCGCCATGCGCCAATACCCTCCCCCGGCCCCTCCCGCCTAACAGCAGCCGCCGATGTCCCGCCTCCGGCCTCGATCCGCGCGTCGGCATCCCCCGCCCGCGAGCGGCATCTGGGGCGCCCATCTTGCCGCGACCGGCCCCGCCGCCCGCCACCCGCCGCCCCGCGCGCCACCTGCCTGCGCCTGGTTGCACCCCGGCTTCTGGAATTCCGCCAGCAGCTGGCAGATCTGATGCACGCCGCCCTCGTGCGGCGCCCAGTCGCCCATCCCGACCCCGCTCGCCATCTCCCGCCGACTCGGCCGCGCAGAAAAGCCGCCGACGCTCCTTCCGACTCCCGGATCTCCGCCAACAGGGCGCCCAGGGATGCCTGGCCACCGGGCTCGATGCCCCTCCTTCCCGCGCTCCTCCGCCTGCAGCCCTGCGGGGCCGAACGGGTGAACAATCCGCGGGTGGGTGGGGCCGAGAATGCGGGGCCCCTGCCGCCCTGTCCCCCCCTGCCGCCGCCCGACAGCACCGTCGGCAGCCGGCGGGCCGCCAGGCGCTCCCAGCACCACCGGCGCTCGCCCCGCTGCTTGGGCTCGAGGCGAATCTACGGACCAGTCGGGGGCAGCAGCACCTCGACCTGGCTCCAACCCAGCGCGCTCAGCGCCTTTGAGGACCCCGAGGCGCTTTTTTTGGCTCGGTGGATGCGGCAGGGCAAGTGGGCAGTAGTTGGACGCACCCCAGGGACATGTGGAAGCGCAAAATCTTCGTAGAGGGAGGTCCTAAACTAGAGGGGAAGAAACCGTGAGAGTCCTCACTTCCGTTGCGGAAAGTCTGCCATTTAATCGTACAATCCTCTTGCTGGAGATCCAGGTCTTTTTGGCGGTTGGTGCACCCTACACCCCTAGAACAAAGCACTGAAAAGAGTGAAAATATTTGGGAGCAGTGTTTTCCCTCACGGGTCGTCTGAGTCTGAGTCGGAATTGAATGCCAAAATCGTTGGCACACATTTCTTGGGTGAAATCTGGCACTGCCGGCCACTTCCTTGCCTTGAATATGTAATGGCTCTGGCGTTGAACTCAAAATCGATGATCGAATTCGCGGTGCCAAAAAGAGTGAGCGAAATCGCGCTGAGACGGGGGAGGCAGCTACTTCCAGTGCTCCAGGGCTCGCCGATTCTCAGCACGGCTTGCGAGCAGCCAACGCGTGAGAGTGTTGTGGAGAGACTGGAGCCGGGCTCTGCCCCTTCCGTACACCCATCAACGGCAATAAACCAATGTGTCCACAAGACTCGTCCCAGCGGTCTGTTGGATCCTGAGTCAGCACCGTCTAGAAGATGACGTGATTCGCCAGGTCACTGTCAAAGCGGCCTATCCGCCGGCTCGAGTGATACAAACCCCGCCGCTTGGGCCATCACGCCCCCGCCTTCCCACCCATCCCTACCCCGTGCGGCGGACCGATCGGCGTCCCAACGGGTCTGCCGCCATGTACGAGTTCAGCCTGGAGGCCTTCCTGAAGCCGGTCCCCATCGGCGGCACCAGCGTGAGCTACGCCCTCGCCGTGGGCTGTCTGGCGGCGGCACTGCCTATCCTGCGCTTCGCCCTGTCCAGGCTGGTGTTCGAGGTGCGGCACAGGCTCCCTGGGCGCGCATCAACTGCATTTGATGGACCCGACTTTGGGGCAAGGTTCCGGTGGTTTGGCGATGAGCGGAGGCGGGAGGGGACGCGGCGCCTTTGCGCGTTTGGCGGGTTGTTTCGAATAGACAGGGACGGGGCGACCTTTGCTACCAGGAGTCAATCCGATGGTGCCTCTGACGGCTGCTTTCTCGACACCGAGCCTCTCCGCAGAGCTGAGCGCCTAGTGGCCAAAGGATTCGAGCGCGATCTGTACTTTCCCGCGGAAATCAGCCACTGGTGGCAGTCGATCGTTCGATCGGCTTGGCATCCGCAGAACTGACCCACCGTACGGTGCTCACTGTCCCTCATTCCGGAGCTCGGTGCCAAACTTTGGGCTCGATTTCTGCCGTGTCCCAAGACTGTGCGCCACACTGCGCGTCTTGTGCCATCCCCAGCCCATGCTAGTCCCTCTCCCCTCCCCTGTTGTTCCGAGTTGCTCCCGTGCCCCCTGCCTCCGTGTTTGATTGCGGCCCCCGTGTGGGATCCCCAGCCCTGTGTCTCTACACCTGGATAGGACAGGCTACTCTTTTTTCCCCACAATTTGAGCCCAGATGCTCCCCCGGTTTGTTTTGCCCCTATGTTGATTCGCGACCTGTGTACCGCAATCCCAGCCCCTGGGCCGTTCGGTGCTGCCGCCGGACGCAAAGAAGGACGACGGTGCGCCCGCGCCAAACGGCGCGGTGAGCACCGTCAACATGCGCAAATGGAACGAGTCCTGCTGGGTGTTCTGGTTCTACCTCACCGTCACGTGGATGGCCTTCTCCGCGGCCTGCAAGGAGCCCTGGTTCACGTCCACGAGGCACTTCTGGTTGGGCTGCACGGCTTTGCCCTGCAACACGAGCGTCTCTGCGGGCGTGCTCCTCTTGTACACCGTGGAGGCCGCCTACTACCTGCAGGTGAGCGTGTGACTGTCCATCAACGGAACGGAAACACGTCATACACTTGGCATGCCATTCCTGAGCAACCACTTTTGCAAGGGTCTTATTCGTACTGTAGAAAGCGATGCACGAATCGCCTAGAAAGTGCATTGGCAATAGCAAGCAACACAGGCGATGTGGGTCATTGCTAAGCAAGCTGTCAACGACAGGTTTGCCTTTTGGACGAATGGGCACAGTTTGCGCAGTTGATGCAAAGAACGTAGAAAGCATCTGCACTCTTGGTTGATGAGAGGGGGACCTATGTGTGCAAAGACGAATAGGAGCAGTAAAGCAAATTGCCTGTATGTCCTCCCGGGCAAGGGAGTGCCGTGTTCCTCAACAATTCCAGAATTTGACCTTTGACCTGTGGCCCCTCAGTACATGTCTCTTGCGAAGCTTGTTGAATGTTGCATGCTTTTGCATTGAAATCGTCCTGCCGCACAATCCAAATGGTTCCAAATGCCCTTGCTTGTGGAAGCGCCTTGAATGCTTGCTTCTTCCCTCTGACAATTGCGGCCTGCTGCTCACTGGGCATCTTCATGCTCTTCGACAACAGACTTCCAAATATCCTGTAGACCAATCTAAACAGTCCCAGACACTTGCAGGGCATCCCTGTGCTACTTTGGGAGCCCAAGAAGAAGGACTTCTGGACGATGCTGGCCCACCATATCGTCACACTGGGCCTCATTCTCTACTCCTGGCAGCTGAACTTCACAAAAGTGGGAACCATGATCTTCCTGGTCCATGATGCCTGTGATGTGTGCATGGAGTGCGCCAAGTTGGCAAGGCGTGTCAAGTCGGAGGCCCTCACCACAGCCTTTTTCGTTATCTTCCTGCTGGTGTGGGTGGGTGGACGGCTCGTGTATCTGCCCTTTGTGCTGATCAGGAGCACCCTAATGGAGCCGATCGGAATCATTGCAGTGCCCAACGGAATAGACCCGGAGCCACACTACACAATATTTAACACTCTGCTCATTCTGCTGGTCGTGTTCCACATATACTGGACAGTCCTGATCTTCAGGATCCTGCACCGGACGCTGACCAAGTCAGGAAGCAAGGGGATCGACGACGTCCGGGACGAGGACGACGATTGATGAGGACTTGTGTCGGGCAGGAGGGCCGTGGCTGTGGGGTAGATTTGAAGGTGCAATCGTGCTATTTTTGCATTCACCTGAAATGGAGGGAGAGGAGATAACAAGGGGCTGAGTTGCAGAGCATAACTTCGAAGGAAAATCAAACGGAGTGTTTTTGGGAGGGATGAGCAAGGGATCAGTGGTTGAGTGGAGTAGTGAGGGGACAAGGAGTGGACTTTGTGAATAAGGCAACATGCACAGGTGCGAACAACATGGATCATTTGGAGAGTCATGAGCAACGAATGCATATTTAACTATGAGTGTCCAGCTGTCCAGACTTTAATGAGTTCACTCTGAGTAGACGACTTTCACATATCTTTTTGCTGCTGATAAGGCATTGAGGCTCACAAGGGTCACAAATGTGTCCATTGTTGCAGCATCTGCTGCTGGACTCGAAGTGTGCCAGCTCATGTGGCGACAGGTGGCAGGTAGCTCATGATGGGAACTGAAGCTGCGTATGACATGAGAAGCAACAGTTCATCGCCGCTTGCCACAAAGGGCAACAATAGTGAGGCGTCGTCATTCCAGTCTGAGTAGGATAGCAAAGCTGTCCCTCGGCGTGCAAATAGGACCCAGGGACACTGTCCACAAAATTGGTAGCCCACATCCCAAGACAGCAAGCGATCTCTTGTGCTCAGCTCCCACTGGCAACCACAAGCCAAATTTTCACGCACCATGATCTTCGCAGCCATTTCGCTCTGTTGGGGCGTCATTGCTGGTCGAGATCCTGCCGAAGACGGCAAGGACATTGCGGAAGTGTCGTGGAAGCGGCCTGGGAAGGGTGAGGTTTGGACGAAAGCGCAACATTATGTGCACCAGGGCATCGCCGTGGCTCTGGCTGCAGAGTCGGAGCATCAGACACGACAGGGCGAAAGCCCGTCGGACAAACTGACGCTTCGTCGAAGAGGAAGAGGCGGAAAATGCATCACGAAGCGAACCCACCGCGGCAGTACTCAACATCAACAGATATTTGGGAACTCGCCAGCATTTACCGGCTCATTGACAACGTCTTTTCCCCGTCCGTCACCCTCCCTTCCCCGGGATTTTCTCCACGACCAGTCCGGCTGATAGTGGCCCGACTCCGCTCCACGCAGCCCTTGAACAACTCGCTGACCCACGCCACGCCGGCTGCATAATCCCCCCCCGCCCAACCCCGCCCCCCCAACGGCGCCCGACGCGCGCACGGTTCTCCCGGGCGCCCTCCACCCCCGGCCTGCGCCATGGTCATGCAGGCGCTCCTGACGCGCGTGGCCTCATGCTCCACGGCCGTGGGCGGCACGCCCAGGCCGTCCAGCTGCCCGGTCGCCCTGGGGCCGCCCCACCTGAGGTCCCTTGGGCAGCTCGAGTCGGCGGCCGGATCGCTGCCCCCCTCCCTGCCGGCCACGCAGCGCGGCGAGGGCCCCGCGCAGCGCCGGCTGGTGGCGCTTCGAGCGGGGGGATCCGGACATGAATTCTCGTCGGACACGGACGAATACGTCGAGGCGCAGATCGAGCAAGGTGGGGCTTGGTGGAAGGCGGGAACGTTTGGCTGTCTGGGGGTATTGCGTGCTTGTCATTGGGTGGGTGGGTGGGGGTTGGGGGTGGGGAGGTGGGGTGGGGGTGAGGGTGGGGGTAGAGTGGGAGATGTTTGTGCGTTGAGACTTGTGTGCCTGCGTGCGCAGTGAAGCACACGGACAACAGCGGGCACGTCATTTACCTGAAGCTAAAGGACGGCCAGGGTTCCGTGCTCCCCGTGTACATAGGTGCGCCCGTCGGCTTGCTTCGGGCTTGTCGGGCTCCCGCTCGGTGGGGAGGGATTGGGCGCTGCTGTGCAGACCGCGGCAGCGATGATTCGGGCAACGGATTGACAGATTGGTTGTCGGACGCGCAGGCGACTTCGAGTGCGCGGCTCTCCTGAAGGAGATCAAGAAAAAATCCACGGTGGGTGAGAACCTGCGGGCGCAGCTGCCACTTTCTCCTCCCTGGCTTTGCTCCGATCGGCGCTTGGCGGCATTCGGGCGCCGGATGGTGGCATTTGACGCGCGTGACTTGTTGTTGGGACAGGCGCGCCCGATGACGCACGACCTGATGAGGAATTCGCTGGATCTCCTGGGTTACAAGGTGGGGGCCGGGGCTCGCCGTGCTGAAGCATGCGGACTCCGCGCTCGAGCGTTGATCGGGCCGCCGGTTGGCACCATCGCTCAAGCTTGCGCACGGGAGAATGGGACGGGCATGGGAAGGGCGAGTGTTGTGCGGGGTGGGTGGTGTGGGGGGGTGGGGTGGGAGAAGGAGGGTGTTGAAGCGAGTTGGCGCACGGCCCGATGCTGCGCTTGAGGATCTGCGACCTGATTCTCCCCAATGGGGTTTGAACGGCCGCTGGGAATATACCGTCTGGGGGAAGAGGAGACCTGCTGAAGAGCGGTTGCGCAAAAATGCGCAACAAAGGCGGACAAGCGGGCAGCGAATGGGAACAACTGGGAACAATAGCGTTCCGATGGCCGCAGGTGACCAAGGTGCGCGTGACGGCGCTCGTCGGCAACACGTACCACGCGCGTGTGCACTACAGTCGGGCCAGCGAGAACGGCGCGGCCGGGAATGAGGTGGACGTGGACGCCCGGCCGTCGGACGCCATCAACCTGGCGGTGCGCTTCGACGCGCCGGTGTTCGTGAACAAGGGCGTGGCGCAGCGGATGGCGCACTCGGTGCGCGGCCACGAGGCGCCCGAGCTGGAGGTTATCCGCAGCTGCCGGGAGGAGATGCTGCACATCGAGGACCCCACTGTGATGGTGAAGCTGCAGCTGCAGATGGCTGTCGCGGAGGAGAGATATGAGGACGCGACCAGGTGGTTGGGGAGGAAGAGGTCCTTGTGGAGAGTGGCAAGGCCAAAACGGGCTCCTTGTGTTGAGGAAATTGATTGTGTTGAATTGGATGTCCTGCAGCCACTTGAGTGCGGAAGGTGCTGGAAATCACTTTGCTATCGGCTGAGATATGGAGAGTAACATCGTGCCAGATGTGTTTTTCTTGTCTTTTGTTCGTTGGCACTATGACACTATACTGGGAATGGGTTGGATGGATTTCTAATCGCCATAATGCTTCAACATTTTGATGAAGATAAAAAATTCGTGGGATGGACTGTTTGCTGGGTTATTGCAGTCATCACCAACTGTTCCAAGGCTGCTGGCTGCTTCACAATCTTTCGATTGTAAAAACTTTTCCACAGATTTGTTGTTCCCTTTTACAAGGAAAGTTGCCTGTGTGCATGCCTTATGTCCATATCAACCAGTTCGTTGCAAAGGCAAGTGTAGTGGGATTATGTGAGGATGTGTACATTGTCCCTAAGCTGTCTTGCTGGTTGCTGCCCCAGGCTTCGGGACCAAATTGAACAGATGCTGTCCACAGACAGGGCCTTGGCACTGGTGGTTGCACTGGAGAGTGCCCTCGAAGGTCATCGCTATGAGGTGAGTGTCTGCCGCCTCTGGCTCATTGCTTGCTGTGGCACATCTTCATCCAAGCACGCTAGGGACGACAGCATCAATCCGAAGATTGCTTCTGGGCTTGCTTCTGGAACCACCTTTGTACAGTAACTGGCATTTGACATCACATAGAAGGTGGAAAGGCTGTGAGTTATTATATCTTCAGCTTGGAATATCGTTGAGGATGGTTGTCATCCAATCACATTCAAGCATGAAATGGTACAAGAGACAGTGCCCACAACAGAAAATTTGTGATAGTGGTACCTGAAGAGTTGTTCTCTGAAGAGTAGCTCCAAGAGCTGTTCCCTCACATTGAAAAGTGTGAAATTGCACTCTGCCGATCGCCAAGCTGCTTTGCTGCCTCGTGGAACTACCATGGATGCACGTGTGTGTTTGTTTACAAGATTTGCATGCTTCATTGACGTGCTTGTATGGGGCCATTGGCTGCAGGAGGCTGTTGCCCTTCGTGACAAGCTCATAGAACTCCGAGAGAACTCAGCTCAAACGTCAAAGAGCAAGGGACAAAGTGAATCTTGACCCCAGCAGCAAGCGATCAGTAGTAGACTCGAAGGGTGTGAATGGGAGGCGAATGCAGCACAGGACCTTTGGGAAAGGTGGGCTCTTAAAGGGGCCAGCTTTGGGTGGGGAGTAGGGTTGTGATTGCAAATCGACAAGGATAGAGGGTAAGGGAAACGGAAGGGATTGTACAGTACAGGATGGGCTGGTGGGGGAGAACACAAAGTGTGAGAGGAGATGTGGCAGGTGTCTTGCTCGCTCAGCAGCTGTAAGCTAGAGTATGGCCTACACATGGGATGCTTTGGCCGCACAGGCCTCACATGTGCAGGAGAATCAAGTTGACATGATCGAGCTCACACTATTGGCCACAGTGGGCACAGAACCTTGGAAAAGCGGACGCGTGTCAAGGGCCGTCCGATTTTGTCTCAGGAGCGTGGTATTGTGGGCATGCTGGTGTCATCTACTGGCTCTCAATTAGGCGTCCGCCTGTGGCTCTCCTGTCCACGTGCCCCTGGATGGCAGTTTCTGCAATTGGCAATCGCAGGAGTGTTGGTTGGTGGGCGGAGTGCGCATGCCTTTCCGTTGTGCTTTTTCATTACAATGCTGGCAATGGCGCTGCATTGTTTGTGCACTCCGGCCGATGCAATGGAAGGCATTCGCAAGGCGGCACACGGTGCTGTTGTGCCATTGCTCTTGTATCATCTACACAGAACACTGTACTCTAGGGGGCTGCGTTTGTAAATGCTGGAGAAAATTGTCTGTTCCATACGCCTCAGTGCAGCTGCTGGTTTGATGCGCTGGGGGCCGGCATCACACCCAGCGGGGTGCAAGAGGGTACCAGGCGAGTTCGTTTAGCTGCTTGCATTGCCAAGGTGCACCTTAGCACCTTGCCGGATTAGCACCACGTGGCGCCTTGCTTCGAGGCGTGGTGGGCAATTGGCTGCCTGCCCTCTGCAAGACAGCAATTGGCGCAGCGAGCTCGCTGGCAAGAGCTGCAGCATACATGCGCTGCCCGCTCACGTTCACAAGGCTGCCTGCTTGGAAAGACTGCCAAAGCCACTTGCACGGATAGGTTTGGGGCACCTGCAAATTCCGATGCGCCATTGATGCCGGCCACAGGACTGGCCACAGGTGGCATGAGCTGCAATGTGCACCGCAATGGCCCTGCAAATATAACAAAATTGTAGTGCACCAGGTTGGTATCAAAACAGGCACTCTGTTGCCACCGCGTGGACAGAAACCCACGCGATGACTCTGCACATTTGATAACAATTATGGGCCTCTTAGAAAACCACAGCCAAAGGCAAAATCACTGCCTAGTTCGCAGTTTCTGACTCTGTTGAAATTGACTCAAGAAGGAAAATATTTGAATTTGTACGCTTAGCGTCAAATTGACGCTAGGGGGTGGGGGAGGTGGGGTTGTCCAGCCATTGATGGTAAGAGATTGTGTAATTGCACTAAATTCAAATTGAGGTGGGAAGATGCACAAAAACGCCGCTGATCAGTGGCACATAGCTAATGACTTGTCGCAGAAACTTCTGAAACTTTCAACCTTCGAGACGTCCTCAGATGGATCAATTTTCAGGCTTTTGGGCTGCTCCCATTTCCTATCATAGCTTTTGCCATCCCATTTTTTCAAATTACTGCAATCACTACAATTTCGGCTGCTTCTCCCCTGGGGCCTAAAATTAATTTGGAGCCCTATCGCACTGTTAGATGATGTTGCTGAGTCATCCTGGCATCGAAGTAAGAATTGACACCAAGGAGGGGGTTGTCCGAGCTTGACGTCACGTTGGCGCTCAGCGTACACAATTCAAAAATAGTGTCTTCCCTTAGTACTGGACAAAGCCCTGTTATCTTAGCCGTGTTTTGGGTGTCAATTTGCAAGTAGTGAGTGGGCAGCCACAATTGAAGAAATAGCAACTTGCAAGGACACCACGATACCATCAGGAATGGGCGGAATGATTAGAAGTCACCTGCTCAGCAGACACACCCACATCGGACATGGCCACAGACGGCGGCATCTTTCGCTCTGGTGCACTTTGCGAACATCTCTGATGACAAGTTCTATTCTTTCGCTTCACTGCAACACGGGGATGACCCCAAAACATAGACATAGCAGATGGGAAAACACTGACGCACGGTCACGCATCTATCAGGCCTGTAGTGTTATTGCTGCGCGACTAGACTTCCCCACCAGATTGCATATTGAGAAGTTGACGCTGGCACTGATTTCACTAGTTTTGGGTCGAATACAATTGCACATTGTGTACCACCGGTATTTGATGTCATAATTCCTGGACTATCAGTTAGTTATCAATGGTGCTACAGAAGGCAGCCTCAAAGCTCTCGCTCGTGAGGTGTGCGTCCGTTGCATGACATGTTTTGTTTTAATGGCAACACACGCTCTCCGATCCATCAATGAAGATGCGAAGAGGCGGCAACCACTGGGGTCGGAATATACTGGGTCTCATGGACGTTGGTGACACCTCCTGTACGCCCGCCGCCAGAGGGAATGCTTCATTGCGTTCTGTGCCGCGCGGTGCTGCGTGTTTCCCCCTGCCTTTGGAGATTTCTACGCCGTCAAGTGGCGTGAACGTTCACAGCGTGGATGAATTGTCGTCGTCCTTCCGCTCGGGAGGGAGCTGGGCCGTTGGGTTACGTGTGCCTCTTCCTCCTCGTTGTTGCACTGAATCCAGCAACTGCAAGGAAGCCACAAAGGCGTCAACATCCGGAGCCGCCCCTTCCTCACTGGACGCGGGGGTCGTCACGCGCCTCACTCCCCACTCGACGGGCCTCCCCACACCCAACACACCTTTGGGCTGCAAACCCCGGCAGTGAAGGCCCCAAGCCCAGTACTTTACCAGCCTAGTACTCAAATGGCCACTCCGTCCCAGTTCCAGTTCCACACTTCCCCCCCTTCCCCCTGGGATCGATCGCCCCCTTGACGCATCAGCATGCCGCCCCATTCGCCGTGTAATCCCCCCTTTGCGCCGCGCCTTCCCAGAGAGAGATCTTCCAGCAGGAGCCCCGCCTCCGTATTCACCTCGCCAAGCGCGCCTTCGCTGGGGGCATCTGGCGCCACATTGGCCGGCCCCAACCCCCCCGCGCTGTCGAACGACTTGGCACACTCTCCTGCGGCCGCCCGCCTCCAAAGGGCTGGTGCTCACCCTTTCCTCGACCAACAGCCACTCACACTCGTGCTCTGAAGACAGCCAGCACGGGATCAGGGGATCAGCTTGGGCGCCCAGGCATGGGCACGCCTGGGATGATCCTGTGGGCGCTTGCCGCCCTGGCCGCCCTGAGTTTGGCGGGGGCGGGCAGCAACGAGCGTTGCGTGAGCGATGGCCCGCGCAGGGACTGCGGTGAGTGGGCGGGTCGATCGCGGAAAAAAGCTGTGTTAAATTCATCCGAGCGGTCGCGTGGCTGCATCGGCGCTGGACGGCCCCGGGAATGGTGGGCCGCCCCCCCCGGACTGGGCGGGCGCCGGCGCCGGCACGGATCATCAGCTGTGTGGCGCCCGGCGATGTACCGACGCAGAAATCGAGTTGAAGGCTAAGGGTGAGGTCGGATCGGGGCCCAGAATCCGGGAAGCGGGACGCCGATCAGATTTGCAGCCCTGACGCGTCTCCCAGCGCCTCGAATTCTGCGACGCCGGCCGAACAGGAAGATTGGGGTGGATGCACCCCTTTGCCCTCACCGGCGGCCCATCAAACCCATTCCCTAGGGGGTTGGGCGCCCATATGCAGTCCCCATCTCGACCTCGCCCTTTCAGTCTCCCTCAGGAGAAAGGCGAAGATTTTTGCATGAGTAATCGGCCCCCGGAGTGATCGGCATTCGCGGGGGAGGGGGTGTCCCGGGCCGGCGGGGGGGTTGCACGCCTCTGACAGCCGGGCGGCGGCGCGTCCCTTGCTCAGGATGGATGGGGATCAACGACTTAGCGTGCGAGGCGCGCGGCTGCTGCTGGGCTCCGGTCTTCGACTCCAACGCGCCCAACAGGCCCTGGTGCTTCTACAAGAGCGCCGCGGTGTCGGAGTACGAGATGGCGTCCGTGCGGGAGACGGGTGAGTGCGATCGCGGCCGCTTGAGAGCGCGGATGCGGGCCGAGAGGCTTGAAAAGTGACGGGCGAGCCCTTGGCGGGGGCGCGTGGGTCGCCAAGGCGGCTTTCTGGGCGCGGGTCGAGCCAGTGGATGGCTGGGTGGGAGTGGCGCGGGGGTGGCGGGCCGACGAGGCGCATGGGGGCCCCGCTGTAGACACCGCATTGGCTGGGGGGTCCACGTGACCGCGAGGTGGCGGGGCGGCGCGTCATGTGGGAAGGGGGGCGGACGGCGTGTATGGCGTCTGCCAGAAATGGGGCGGTCACGTGTGTGTGGGGGGGTCGTCATCGGTTCGCCTCCGTCACCTCGGTTCGCCTCACGCAGCCGATTGAGGACCAGTCAGACGCTGACACAGCGGATGACGTGGCCGCGGGTCCTCCACCGCAGTCTACGTATCAGTTACACCCTTCCGCATTGCAACGTGACGTTTGGCCTTTTTGTGCGGAGCAATAACAAAAACGGTGCCAAGAAAGCGTGGAGCAGCCGCGGCAGGGTGCAAGGGTTCTTGAGTGCTCTTGGCGCCTAGCGGCCTTGGATGCATGTGTCGGAATTTTTGGTCTCGCGACAGGTATCGGCGTGTCGAGCGTTCCCCTAAAGCACAAGCCTACAGCATCGTGACGGGGGATATTGCACACGTGGCATCTCGCGCCCCTGCTACTCATCCGCTGGGGCGGAAAACCGACATTGGAGGCCATGTGCACTGGCCGAAGTCGCCATTACGGCTGTGACCATGATGCGGGGGCCCCTAAAAGAGCGATCTGTCGTAAACGCGTCGAGCAAAAACTGTAACGCTGAAAATTTCAAAATATACTACTGTACTTTGGCGCGGGAAGCAGCCTTGGTGAGCCCTTTGATCAAGCTGACGATTTTCACAGCAATGCGACAGGCGACGCCATGGGATGCTCAGAGGGTTGCTTGATGGGTGTGGGCTGCGGATGGGCTGTGCTGAAGCTGCTGACAACGCAGCAGAATGGCCAAGACCAGTCGGAATGTTTTCTTTGGGACAGTCACAAAGGGCTCTCGCAAAGGAAATATTGCACTAAAATTAACATAGAAAATTGAACCTGTTGTGTGCCATCTACACCAATATATAGTTTGCCACCAGCTAATCAGAGCTTCAGCATGGACAAGAGCGGTAGGAATTGGCAGCTGTTCTGCCTCCACCAAAGAATTGCGTGCCCTGGTGCCCTACTCTCGTGACACATAATACAACGTTTGTAGATGATGGAGAGCAGGGTCACTGATATGGCCGTACATGATGGCCGTACTTGATTATGAACTGCAAAAGCTCCTTGGTTGACTTAGCGGAACCATGGGATTCAGTTTTTCCAGAACTAATGCCACTCCAGCAAACCGATTCAACAAATGTTCTGAATCCACCGCAGAGGTGAAGTGCGAACAAAGATCCCATCTCCTTCTCTTGAATCACTACCAGCTCGTTGCAAATGGGTCTCTCGATTTTCCATTCTGGCTGCCTGCTTTTCTCATTGACCCAAATGGCTGCATGCTGCCCTTTCGTGTCAAACAGAGCAAATCGGGGCACTTCCGCGATTAATGAAACTTGCCAAGCTGCAGGATACTACCATCAAGCATATGAACGCTCTTGCAATTGGATTGCTCACTTAGTCGTCTTCACAATCTAACCCTGAAAGTGACTGAAAGCGTTCCAGACGAGACACATCCCACAGCGATTGAACGTGCACGACATGGACGGTCTGCTGCAGAGAGGGGTTTGATTCATGAGCGATGATGAGCCGTGATCTGTCATTAATGAGCACATGAGTGGTCTGATACTTCTGCCATTGGTTGACAGCTGACTGACATCGCATAAAATTGTAAGTTGAATACTGTAGCATGTGGAGATGTGCCCCGGGGCATTGTTTGTCAATTGATTGCAGATGAGCTGCCACCGTGTTGCCAGGCGTCGGCTTTGTTGGCGAACTGCACCAGACCACCTCGGGCCTCCCATATTTGGGACCAGACATCAAGCAACTCAAACTTTCGGTAGACTATGAGACGAGCAGCAGGTTGCACGTTAAGATATCCGATTTGGAGGACAAACGCTGGGCGGTGCCCGAGTCGCTAATGCCCAGGTGTGTGAGGGACACCTGATACCGTGCCTTTCATCGCGCACACAATAACAACATGTGGCATCAGAAAATTAAGTAATATTCTTGGGAGTGGGGATGAGGGGTGAGAAATCCGTATCTGAGATGACAGAAAAATGGTGAGAGATGTTAAAACATCTTTGTGCTTTCGGAATGCCAAAACATGGGAATGACAAATAGCCGATGCAAAGAAGGAAGTGGGAACAGTGAGAGTGAGAGTGCTTATACGGGTGGTCAGAATGTAGGGATAGGCTCGAGAACGTATGGTGCAGAACTAACATTTCCCAACCACACTGTGCTTCGCTTCGAGGCAAGGGAGGCAGGCAGGCATAATTTCTAATGCAATCTCTGAGTGCCAGTGTTGCTCCTCAGGCCAGCGGCTTCCAGAGCCGCCACCAACCCATTGTACACCTTCAGCTTCGAGCAAAGGCCTTTTGGGTTCGCAGTGGCTCGCAACGAGGACGGTAACGTTCTTTTCGACACCAACGGCCATAGGTGCGCTAACCTGATGCCAGTGCACTGCCGTTATGTATGCAATGGCGCCAGAGGGAATATATTGTCCTACAACCGGCATATAGTGGCGTGATTTGTGGACTGCCTCAGAATTGCGCATGTCTGCCAAATTTCCGTTGGGGGTTGGAATGCCTTAATGAGACGTTAGACGCTCTCTTGCAGCTTGGTGATTTGTAATCAAGTAAATTGGAGCCAGGGAAAGACTGTGACCTTAAGCTTTGGGCGCTGTGCAGCAACGATGGCAAATTATAATGAATATGTGGTCTGTTCGCTGTGCAGCGTTTGCACGCCAGGTTGACCATTTGCAGAACGGTGCACTGTGGTGCGATGTTAAAGGAAATCGACCAAATCCTTAAGAAAAGTTTGCGGATTTCGTCACGCTCATTATTGTCTCCAGGGTTTACAATGTTGATTTGAAACTCTTTGGCAAGGTATCATCTGACAAAAACAGGACTAACTGTTTTGTGGTTTCGCACACCCGCATCGCAGCCTCTTCTTCAAGAACCAATACCTTGAGCTCACTTCGCCTGTCCCAGAGTCGTCAGCCCTTTATGGCATTGGTGAGGGGCAGTTCCTGGATCTGGGTTTGGATGAGCGTACTGTGCAGTCATCATGGCGAACGAGACTTGGTTGCGCCTGTGCTATCCGCGCACAGCTGAAGGACTGGAATGCATATTGCATCCCTCGGTGTCCCAAGTCTATTGTGCGATTTTCAATTTTAAGTGCATGCTCTCGTGCGAGCCCATGAGTCTGTTTTGAGGTGCACAAAAAAGAAACGATCGCCTACTAGGCCTATTAGGTCTAGTAGACCTAATGCTGATATTCAATATTTGGATGATCGCCAAAGTGGATGGAGTCTATCTTTGTGACATACATCTTCTGATGAACATGAAGTTTCCTTATGATCTCTGGCTGAAAGCACCATCCAATGATGTTCCAGTCCTGGCCACACATATGCGTAGATGCAGTCCTTTCCTGGCCAAGGGGCAATGGCATTTGAAGTTGGGCTGGGTACAAAATGTGCTTGCAGTGGCTGGATTGATTGGAGAACCGAATATCTGCAGCCTGCGACATCAAGAGGCCGTGCGCCGCAGATTTCATGCCATTGGCTCATCTCAGGTTTTCTCGGTGCAGGCGAGAGGACCCGAAGCGATGGCATCCGGCTGCAGCGCAACGGAGTGCCCACCACGATGTGGAACAAGGACACGGCGGCGGCTGATGCAGACACAAATTTGTACGGCTCACACCCATTCTTGATGGCAATTGAGGAAGGTGTGAGCGCCTATTCTGGATGGCGTTTCGCGAAGTTTTTTTTTCAAATGTGCCGTGCAGCGGGTGTTCGCTTCCGAAAAATGGGCTTTGTAACACACTTGAAGCGGCTGGCAACTTTCAAGGGACTTGGCTGCCGTGTGCACAATGTTGTTCTGTTTGATGCATTTATGCCAAGTGTGTGACGTAGAGCCCCATTTTGTGCCACCCCATGTGGAGTGGAGGTGGGTCAGCATTGGAAACCAACAAATGAATTCGCACATTGTATCACAGACGGCTATTTGATGATCCTGCCTTGAAGACAAGAATGAAATGGTTGAGGTCGCCCAATCCTTTCTGGAAAGCATGGAGAGCGTCTTACATGCGGGAATCTTGAATAGAGTTACGAATTTATTTTGCTTCAAGTTTTTGCAGTGATTCCAAAAAATGATGCCCAATTGTCCTGTGCAGAACTGTAGCTCACCATGTAACTGGCACCAGGGACAAATTCAGCATCACCTGCCATGAGCTTCGAAACAGTAGCCTTTGCAATTCACGGAAGGCACTGTGTAGTCTTTTAAACGGCTGCTCAGTGTCCTCCGTGAATTGCAAAGGATATTCGTCACGAATTCTTTACGGATTCGAGATTCCATCTGAGGGAACTTTCCTGAGACGTTGTCCCAAGTCCGCAACAGGCAGCTCCCAAGCCAGATGTACAATAGCTAGAAACGATCGCTTTCGCTCTGCCTTGGATGTGATGTGCCCACAACAGCTGCCAGTATTGAGTGCACGGACAACGCCATCGTTCCTATTCCGCAGTAGGGTTGCTGAATGCTGTTCCACGCACCATGCCCCAGGGGGCAACGCACACGGAATCTTCCTGCTGAACAGCAACGGCATGGACGTGGTTTTGACGGAGTCCACTATTTCCTACAGGTACATCCACCCCCAGTCTATTCTGGGCTCACCATAGCCTCAATGTCAGGCACTGCGCCATGCACATTTGACGCATTGCAGGGTCACTTGAGGGTCTGGTGCTCGGAATGACGTGCCGGTGGCCTTGGAATGGCTTTAGGGCGTGTCCAGCTATTGGCTATGATTGGCGAGTCTTTTTTGGGAACCGGCGCTTCAAAATTCGCTTTCCTGCATAATTGGAGAGGCAAAGTGGGCTGCATGCTCCTGAATGCCTGAATGCAGCTAACCCCATTCGTCGTTTCTAGAAGTGCGACGCACTCGTTCTGATGAGGAATTCCAGTTTGCTCCAAGGACTGCTTTTCAATTTGTTCTGCATGCAAACCTCCATCATGGTGCTTGTAATCCACGATGGGTTACCGAATCATCGCACGAGGCATGAACCCCACGGATTCCCATCATGGAATTCAGGCATCATCGCAAGGCACTGCTCACTACTGCCTCCTGTCCAATGTGCGAATCCAAGTGAAGGCTGTAAGAAAATGAGCCTTGCGACCCGGGTTGCCCAGCTCAGCACTTGACCTGCGCAAAATTGCAGTTCTGCTGAACACCGTAAGCTGGTCTGGGCAGTGCAGTAGTTCGTGGTCAGGATGATCAAATTCTTCCAGTCCACCTTTTCCAGGGTACCAGACTGTATTTCGAGTGAAAGTGCCGCAGCATAAGTCGCATGGCACATCTTGGGTTGAAGTGATGTGGTAAGCGACATCTGCTGAAGCTCTGGAAGGCTTGGTGGAATACTGACGCCGCTGTTGGCTTGTCAAGCTTCCCACCCGGGCTTCAAGTAACCTTCACCAATATTTCCTCATTTACTAGTCGCCATCCGCATGCAAAGAATTGCAGGAAAAAGCCCCGATTGGGGAAATCGTTGCATCTTCATCAACAGCGACCAGTGCTTCAAACGAGAGTATTAAGAGGCAAATTGAGTGATCCAGCCATCAGAACTGTATATTCAATCGCAGATTACCATTTCCATTAGATAGAAAAGCCTTAGGGGCCCTACGTGCAGTATGCCGAGTTCTGTGTTTTGTGCGCTTGCGAACTGCATGCGCGACATTTGATTGATATTGTGCTGGCTCAGGAAGCGCAAGCAGTGGCAAATGAATTTCTTTGAGTTATTACCTTGTACTTCCTTCATCCCAAATTAAATTGCAGTTACACAAAACAAGAAAATCGGGATCAAACCTCATTCCAATGTACAAAATAATGTCGAAAACGGAAAGGCCATATGCCAAATCTTTGGAAACCACTCTAGCCGCAATTGGAATGATATCTCAGTTCTTGTCAGCATTTCTGAAAGCCCAAGTTGCATCTGTCACCAATTTGTTCCGCACCGGCACCTCCCACACGATTTCTCTGGCGTTCCTCTCAGCCTCCTTGCCAACATGCAGCAAGTCAAAGGCGTTGCTGCCTTCCTCAGCAAGTATGCAAGCCATAACTGCAAATAGCGACGTCCAAACGTGCTCCAACGTCTCCCAGGGGTAGCTTTCAAAGACTTGCATCACATTCGACACGATGCCTTCGATCGATTCTCTGAAACAAACATTGTTGGAGAATCGCTGCAAGCTATTAAACAGCCCAAGATCTAGAACGTTCAAGTTTGGGCCATTTATCGGCTGCTGAACGAGCTTGATCTTAAACTTTTGGACTGCAAAGCGGCCTCAAGCTCAGGCTGTATTGAGGCTTTCCGATGGGGGCAGGCTCCATCTAATTGGATCAACACTGAGGTCTTGTTGTATCAAAACTTCTTGCATACTGCCGTCAGACAGTGTTGACTATATACAGGCAAAAGAACCATGATACTGCTAGGCTTTATCTCTGGGGCTTCACGGAGCCTATTTTTTGCCCACAATTTTTGCCCATTGAACCAAGTTGTTGTTTCATCTGGGTGTATTTGTGGGCGAGTCAATGCTGCGACACACATTGCCTTTGGAATAGAGCCCTGGTTTTGGATTCGAGGACGTGGGATTCGGTCTCCCATTGGCAGCAACCATACACTTGAGCCATTCTTCATGGTATAAAACCACTTTTCGTCAGCATGAACCACAAGCCGCATGTCATCGAAATGGGCATTTCGACAATCCCTTGATATGTGGTTGACCACCCAGCACACTTGAGCAACTCTTTGCTCCTTTTTCGAAAATGGCTTGATCCATCTTCGAGCATTCTTGCAGCCCATCTCCCTTAAAACTCGATGCAAAGTCGATTTCGGTATCTGGACATCCATCGCCATTCTGCGACTTGTGCGCTGGCCGTACAGCGATATCTTTTCAATTCTCGTTGCAACTTGTTCTCGCAATATCTTGGGATGGCCGCAGTTCCCTTGCCGTTGGCGTGGCAAACTCATTCCCGTGGGATCGTCGATCGCATTCTGGAACTTTTCACCGATGGTCTCAGTTGTTCAGCACGAAGTCTCCAATCCATGGGCGAGATTTTCGATCACACCTTTTGGTATGCGCTGGCGCCTTGCCCTCCATCTCTGTGTCTCCGCTCTGACCTGTAGTCTAAAGCACGACTCCAACTCTCGTTACTTCATGCAGTGGGCCACCACAAGGTGGCATGGTCCCCGGCCTGAAAACGGCGGTTTCGGCACCACCTTGAAAAACAGTGGTATTTGCGGAAAAATGGCGTCCATTTGAAGCCATATTGCAGAATGACTACTTGACCGATTGAATCGAAAATTCGATACAACGAACTAGACTTAAAGTACAGTATTGTGACAAATTTTGGCAAAACTGTGAGGTGTTTCAGTGAGTTTCTTGGAGCCACGGATCATAACTGCAGTTTAATTTGGGATGGAAGAAATGTATTTCTTATCAAACGTTGACAAATCGCTATTCTTGCACCAATCTTGGTGATGGCGGTCGTGGCATTGTTGATTAAGGAGCAGAAAGGTTCACAATGATGGACGCAATGATAAAAAGTACTGTCGTTGAGATTTTAGGAAAATGGGAGGAAGAAATTTGCTTCCACCCATACCCATGCAAACATTAGGAAAAAAAGGTCAAAAAACACGTGCTCAAATGTATACAAAATCTATGGGTTGAGATTAATTTCGTGTTTTAAGCATGCATATATATATATATATATATATATATTTTTAATTCAAATGATATATATATATATATATATATATACTATATATATATATATATATATATGTACACTAAAAGTGCCACTTGGTCATATTTTTGCTAGCGGGAGTCATGCGCAGATAGTGAATTTTGTACATGGGCACAATTTTTAGCAAGTGGAACACACACCAGTCACTGCTTTTGCACTAGCTTGAACCCCTGGAAATTGCGCCGTTTGCAATGATGGAGCTCTACACAAGGGAGTACTAGCTTGAAAGGGCATTCATGGCACGGACTTTATGATACATAATATAATATTATATATGTGATCATGCATAATTTTGGCACACAAGGCGTGCCGTACATGGGAAAAGTGCGTACCTTCTCCCTTGACCAAGGGTCTCCCACCCACTACAGCAATCGCATATTCAGCAACGCGCCAGAGCTGAAACCACAAACTCCAAGACGTGTTTGAGGTCCTAATGTAGGCGGCTCTAACCGTGGGTTTGCAGGTGGGGATATAGCAACGTGGAGGAGGTGGAGACGGTGGTCAAGCAGTACGAGAAGGCCGACATTCCTTTGGAGGCCATGTGGACGGACATCGACTACATGGACGGTTTCAGGGACTTCACGCTGGACCCCAACAACTTCGGCATGTCACAAATGCGCACCCTTGTCAAGAAGCTGCACGCTAACGGCCAGCGGTGGGTGCCCATCATCGACCCCGGCATCAAAGTGGATCCTGGGTACCCGGCATATGACGACGGCATCCGTGAGGACATCTTTTTGAAGGACGTGAAGGGGGTGCGGTACATTGGGAAGGTGAGGACGGGAAGGACGCGACGCGCTTGGGTGCTTCTCGTGCTGGCGTGTACACCCGGCAAGTCTCGGGTACCGTGGCATTGTGCAAATTTGTGTCCGTTAGTGCTTCCATTCCATGGAAGAGCTCTGCTTTGCGACTTTTGGCTTTGCGCTCCTGCCGCATTGTTTGAACGGCGACGGGGCTGTCGACAAGTCCTTCAGGCATGGCTGTCTCCTGATTTTGTGCATGTATCCTGCGAATGCGTTCAACGCCCCTCGAGGCAACTGTGAAGAGCGTAGAATGCGCACAAAGTTGAGAAACGCACCCATTGTGAATGATCACTGAGAGCACTTAATCGCATGTTTTCTTAGCGAACACTGAGGAAATTGCCTGCTTCATGCAATTTGTATGTTTTGCACCATATCCAATGCAAATGACGTTTACGTATTTATATGCTATTTATTTTCACTTTTGAGTCCCGTTAAATGCGTTGCTGCGACCAACGAATGTTTAAAAGAGCGCAGTATTGACACGACAAAGCTGGAACAGGGCGGGCCATTTGGCGTATTGTCCGACCAGTTTCAGCAGACTGGGTATGATCAGCACTACTCACATTAGTTAGTATCAAACACTGACTTACTAATGTCAAAAAATGCCCACGCCACAGATATCAACTGAGTATCTGCTATTGCCAACATCACGCTGAAATCGCTGAAGCACCTGATATTTCAATTGCAGATGTAGATGCGTGACAAGCAAATATATGCCTTCAAGCCTATCATCCTATTCACAGAAATGCTTGGCAGCCATGCTTTAGGCCTGAGCATCACTTTCAAACAGGCTGGCACCCTTCGCTTGAGAATGGCAAACAAAACCCGTTTCAGACGTCTGAGACGAAGGGTGCGGCCTCCTGCTGTCTGAGGAAAACGCTGGATCAACATCCACTGGACTTAAGTGACGCCAACGTGCCAATTTGGCCCCACCTGAAGTGCTAATCAGTGGGAATCATGGGGTGCTATCCCCGGATGCATATGTTGATGAGGAAGCAGTTTATTCGCTGCTCATGAAGTGTTCATTCGTGTGCTCGTTCAATGTCGAACTGAGAGCTGCGCGCCTTTTGCATGCAGACCTTGGAAGAAAGGGATTCCGAGGGGACATAGCCTGCTCCCAGAACATCAGGTACGAGGATGTCCCTTTCAGGACAGTGCACATCTCCACAGTGCTGGTTACAAAAGTACTTTGTACTAACTCCTTGTACATCTTGTCCTAACACAGTTTTCCCAGCAAAATTGCCGGGTCGCAATGACAGCAATGTTCCACCGTGTTTTCGCTACAGGAAACGAACAGGAGGGGTTCTCAGCTACGCCGCTTAACTTCTTATCTGAGTAGTAAATTTGAGCTAGAAGCTATTGAGCCGGTATATGATCGATTGCTGTACCGCTAGCTCACTTGTTTCCAAACGAGAATAGTGTCAAGTGGCCTGCGCTGACCGGAAGGGTGTCTGAGAATGGCGGCCGTGATGAATCTGCTGCCTGTGGCTGGACGCACCGCACAGATAATGACAATACTTCACATGCAGAATGTGCGGCGTATTTCCACCGCTGGGTTACCATCATTTAGTGCATATTGATGGCAGAATAGGAAGAGCGACGCTTTTGCTTGTGCGCGGTCCCTATCCCAATGCCAGCGGAAAGAGTGCGGGAACGACTCCCCTTGTTTCCTGTGGTTTGAAGGCATTCCCCATGCTCATGTGTGTCCCAGCCTGAACTTGCATCTGGAGTTGCCGCCGTATTCCATCAACAACGCCAACCGCGCAGCTCCCCTCAGCGAGAAGACCATCCCCGTCAGCCTCGTCCACCACGACGGCACTCCTGAGTACGACGCGCACAACCTGTATGGATTTTCGGAGGCGGTGTTGACGCATAGGGCGCTGGCGGACATCCTGACCGAGCGGCCGTTTGTGCTGACACGGTGGGGTGTGGGAGCAGTGGGCAATGCCTCTCAAGCACAAACTCGTTTGCAAAACTTCTCCTGTCTAATCTGTGCAAAAATATTCAACTTGGTATGGTGAACATGCTGAAAGCGTTTGCTGCTGACAGTGTAAGGGAACTGATAAGGAGTCGATCGCTGCCTCTTCGCCTTGATATATAAGAGTTCTTGATGACAGTGTCAGTGCTTGAAGGACGCGAATCGATTTTACTGCAGGAATGCAATGCAGAGGTTCTGTTTTTCTGCATGTTGTGCTTCACCATGGATTCCCTGCACGGACTCAGACACGCATGAATTTCAGACGCTGCCTGGCATTGCCACGTACATGCTCAACTTGGGAGTGTCCAATTTTGAATTTGAAAATGAACACAGAACGGACATCCGTTAGATTGTCTACTGCATATTGATCTTCACCAAATCTAGAGGGAATTATTGGTGAGTATTTAATTTGAGCATCTTTGGTGCATGTTCCTTCTAACTTCAGCTGCGTGCATGTGTTTGAATGAAGGTAAAAGTTTGAGCAGAATCGTAATGAGAGTAACAATTGCACAAAAGTCCTAACTGTATGCGTGTCAATTCATCGCTATGCTTCCCATTACCAGTAGTGACACTGTTATTAGTTTTTTTCATATTAATACATGATCTGTTTCATTTCTTCATATACATTTTCTCCATTTCTAATTGCTTCACATACGATACAGAGATACCTATTTTCGAGTCTCGGTGTCGCAATGCGCGACTTCATTCAAATGTGTTGCGTTGCCGTCTTGGCAGGCGTTACACGGCTCACCTGTCGTTTTCGCAGGTCTAGTTTTGCGGGCTCTGGAAAGTACGCAGCTCACTGGAGCGGCGACAATTCGGCAACCTGGGATGACTTGCGATGGTCCATCGGGTCCGTCCTCAACTCGAATTTGTTTGGCATGCCGCTGGTGGGCGCAGACATTTGCGGATTCAATGGGCAGACGACTGAGGAGCTGTGCGCGAGGTAACAGACGTGTTGTCAGGCCGTTTTCCTGGCTGAATATACACAGCGACTTGGTGATGAGTGATCGAATTGATCTCGGGCTGCCACACGCACTCAGGGCCAGTGCCAATATTGGAGGATTGTCGGCTTTGGGCATGCGAAATGAGAGGATTTTTGCACGGCCATTTCCAAACTGAATATGAGCCTCATTTAGTGACATTTGATGTGTGATTCATACATGGATGTGTGACGGGGTCTCACTGGTCCTCCACACGATGATCTCATCTCCTCGATGCGGCACTTCAAAATACAGGGACTGTATTGTTGTTCACAATACAGAAATTCAGAATTCCCAACGACAGTGCGTTCACCCGCACCGCACGCTCGTCTGGTCCCCAGGTGGATATCCCTAGGAGCGTTCTACCCCTTCAGCCGCGCCCACTCCAACCGATATCCCCAGGAGCTGTACCTCTGGGATGGCGTGGCGGCCGCCGCCCGCAAGGCGCTCAAGATGCGCGTGCGCCTCATCCCCTACCTCTACACGGCCTTCAAGAAGGCGGCCTCTGAGGGGGGCACTGTGGCCTCGCCGCTGTGGTACGAGTTCCCGCAGGACGCCAACACGCACAACAACAGCAGGCAGTTCCTGCTGGGCAGCGGCCTGCTGGTCAGCCCCGTGCTGGAGGAGGGCGCGGACCACGTGGAGGCCTACATACCGGAGGGGACGTGGTACAACATATGGGACTATTCGGTGGTCCAAGGTGGGAGGATCGGTTGGGCGGAAAGAGCTCTGGAGAGCTGTTGAAAAAGATTGCGGCGGTGTGTCACGTTTTGAAATGCGCCGATGCGTATACCTTTAATTTGGGCGCAAGTTTCAACCGCATTTGCGTTCCATTTGCGTCCATTCGACGTGCACGATGTAATTCAACTTTCAGGGCAGCGCCATTTCTTGTGTGTGAGAATTTCCACAGCGAATGCCTGTAATGTGAATTAGAACTGCCTATTCCAAAATTGCCATAAATATCGTCGATTTCACCATCTCCACCACCCGCAACACAGTGTCCACCTCGCTCTCGGCAAGGGTAACGTAAGTATGGAGCAAAAATTCGTTTTCTACCCATCCCCGCGCGTCTGAATGCCAATTCCCGGACTCCCCAAGTCTCAGTGTACTATCCTTATGTACACAGGGCTGCATTTACGTCACGTTTACGTATTTTGACGCGTTTGTATGCGCAGAAACGTAAAATACTATTTTCACGCATAAGAACGTGAATACGAACGGCGCAAAAACCAAGCCTGGAATCTAGTATTTAGATGCACCTCAAACACAGCATTTACAGGAATTTCAAATGAACTCAGCAGCAACGCAAAAGTTCAATTCGGAGCCAGCTTGCCTCATCTTGTCTATGTTTTGGGTCACACGGCGCCCAGCACGATATTCTGCATCTGCATTTTATCGTTCCCGCTTGGTTATTGGAACACATTGTGTCGTCCACAGCTTTAGCTGCATTTTCCACTTTTTGCAGCACGGTGACAACCACTTCCTCTCATGGCGTTGCCAGGGCCTCAGGCGCTGCTCCTGCCTTGTCCTCTGGGAGAAATTCAGGTCCACTTGCGGGCCGGCACCGTCATCCCCATGCAGCGGGCCGCCAGGACGACCAAGGAGGCGGCCGCCGGGCCCCTCGACCTCGTCGTTGCCCTGCCGCCACCAGGAGCAGGCCGCGCGCCTGGCCTGCGCCATGGGGACCAACATGCGGAAGGGACAGTGTACATGGACGAGGGCGCGGCGGCTGTTGACGGTCCCGACAGCCTCACAGGTAACGGCTGTGCCCGTGGAAACGGACACGGAAACGGAGCTTTGCGGTGGAAACCATACCTGATGAGAGCGCCCGTGCGTGCTCATGTCGCCTGCACATGCTGTGAATTCTTGCGACGCGCCGCGCAGAAGTTTGATGGCCAAGGGGGAACAGGGGCAGGGAGCGCCCTCATTCACGTGTTGCGCAAGTTTACTCCAGATGGCCTCATCCACCACGAGACTATCCCCCCGTTTGACGAATTCGACACCAAGCAGAGGTCGAGAATTGGGAAGCACAGAACATGCAGTTTCAATAGCAACACGTTCTCAGATTGTTGTTAACAAATTTCTACAGTTTTTGTTACCAAATCTACACGTCTACAGCAACCCGTCGACGAAAGGGAACGCCTGTCGAGGCTACTCGCGCCTTGTAATCCGCCGCCTCTTGATGACGAAACGGCGCTCGCTCAGTTTTCTAGGTGGACAGCGCTGACTCCTCTTCAGGAGCTCAATTTACAGGCTGGACCTCATGCAATGTAGCATAGACACAACTATGTTTGCCAATGAATCGTCTTGCAATCTGAAACGTGAAAACCGCTGCTGCGGCGTATATTTTAATCCGATTAGCGACAATGGCAGTTGCAGCGCTTCCTTCCAGATTTCTCTTCAATTTGCCTGGGGTGGGTGGGTGTAGTGTGTGCTAATCCTCGTGTTGCTTACATTTGTCAGATGGTAAAGCGAAAGCACTTGTACCAAACTGGCCGTGTAGGGCAGCGGTCCCAAGCACATATGTTGTTCAAATCCACAACGTTCTTTCGAGTGTGGAGACAATTTCCTACAAGCAAAATTAATGGAAGCGCTCAAGCTGGGTCCGTGTATTGTGCACAGTGCGCTTCTCGGCCAGGGTTTCCGGGCAGCGAGGCCATCTCATCACCGCAGCGGCCTTAAGGGACGGGGCGAGCACCAAGAGTGTTCCCAGCCTGGGCACAGTCACCGTGCTGGGTGCGGAGTGCGGATATCCGGAACATCCAGGAAAGCAGGCGGGAGGCTCCTTGCTGACTGGAATGCGTGCCAGAATGAGGGCAAAGGTGAACGATGTGGAACACCCCTCCAATTCTGTCCGGTACGACGCCGAGAGGAGGGTGCTGGAGCTGGCCGCAGTGAACGGGGACCTGACTCGCGGGGCGGTGATAAAGTGGGGCTGCGAGTATGACTTCCCTGCTGTGTGAACTGGGCCCCTGGGGACAAACGGAGGAGGGGTCTCAAAGGAGGCCTCAATCTGGAAATCTGAACTCACTTGATTTATCCGATCTTATGCAACCTGTTTGCGAGGGACATGAGAATAGTTGGTCAGGGCTGTGGGCTGTGCGCTGGCGAATGGGTGCGGCAGCAATTCTACGGACGGCTGGACTTCGGGTGCTGTGCGCTTGGGCGTTTGCTGTCGTCATCCAATTTCTGCGGATGACGCTCGCTCTTGCGCTGTTTCTGATGATTTGCCAGCAGATGCCGGGATGGGAGGAGGCCAAAGGTGGCGAGAGTTGTCAGAAGACCACACGCAGGTCCACAGTTCTTCAGGGAAGACGCGCGAGAGGGCGTGCAATTCAGTTTCAGCCGCCCTGGCAACATTTCCTGCCATTTTTCCCACTGGCTGCTGTCGCCGTGGCTCGAACGGCGCAGTGTCTGGACGGCAGCGGAATGGGTGGGTGCAGGAAATCCGGGGGATGGCATGGCGTGCTGCACGGACAGAAACAATCAAGCACGGAAGAGAGGGTCGTTCAATGTGCTTGGTTCTGCTTGAGTCAAATTTTGGCAGTTTGAGGGCAACACTTCAAGTTTGGAACAATGGGATTCAGGGACGGAGGTGACAACGCTGCGGCAATGTCAGCCCGTCGTGTGGTCGATTTTAGCAATTCGGGGGCAATAGGTGGGGAGACTCAAAGCATAAATTTTGGTAGTCAATACCGCGGGCAGTAGGGGATGCGGACTTGGACGGCTGGACTTCATCAGGGTGGTTGCTTTCTTGGGGATGCGATTCTTTTGAGCAAAATCGCCTTTCGTCGTGGCAAGGAGGGAATTTTGCAAGCGGACGTCGCTGGGATTGTCTCCTTTGCAGTTTGACGGTCTTTAGGAAGGAAGACAGGATTTGCGGTGATTGGAAAGTCACATTCTTCCGCCTTTCATGGCCAATTGCTGCAATCAAAGGAAGATGTAGAAAACGTTTCTTGAGGATAGGAAATGGAGGCGCGTGGCAGCAATGAATGCTGCTGCACCAGAATTTGGTTCTCGGGCATTGAAGGTGCCTGAATGAAGAATTTCGAAAGAGAGTACAGGTCTTTTTTTCAGTTCAGAGGGGAGCAACAATCAGCGAACCTCGTTTTTCATCCTGAGCGCGCAACGGGCTAGCAAAGGCACGAATTTGGACCTGATTGGCGGACAGAGTTGGTGCGAATATTGATGAGGCCAAGCGCGTCTCATCAGGGAAGATCCTGATCAGGGGAAAAAAGTAAGGACTGGGCAAATGTGCCGAGGCTTGTTTTTCTATGGTTCTGGATCGGTGGCGCATGTACATGATGGGATGCTCAGAGAGCGTGCAGCACAGTGTTGCTGTGGCAGGCGTTCTTGACCCCCCGGGGCAACAAGGGCACCTGGCCTGCATGCCAGACGAGTGCGAACAGCAGCAGATGCACCTGTGATGTTGCACTTGTGTGTTCAGTGTGCTAAATTTCAATCGAAACTGCTTGCTGTTCCGAGACTGCGCCAGTGGCATTGATGAAGGTGTGCGTCCAGCCAAACCAGTGGAGCCCAAAGAAGCGTTTTCGGCGGCGCACAATGCCGGCCATGAGTCACGGTGTCGCCTATCATTCGCCCTACATGACTGTTCACTTGCCTTTAATATTATCAGTATTTGCTTTCGCTATATGGCACATTCATAATGCCGTCATGTGTAGCCGCCGTGCCGCCTGCTAAAAGTTTGTTGCCTATTCTCCCAGGTCTACAGTCGCCGTGCAAAAGTGCCCCATGTGGCGCTGGCCTAAACAGGTCGATGTACAGTGCTGTTGCCCATTCGGTAACGCAGCAGGGTCACGATATTGCGCCCTGCAAGTAGTGCCCGATCCCCAATAGCGTCGCGGTTCTCGACTTTGCACGTATTGTGGAGCAACTTTGCATAAATATTGGGGAATGGACGTGAAGCTCGAGGCATACTGACTTCAGTCAGTGTGCTGGACACTTGAGCACACCCAACGGAGGTGCACTGTCAGGCTTCAACTTTGGATGGTCGTTGGGACAGTTAAGGAGCATTCGTTCCTATTGGTCCCATTGGATTGGCACACCCACCCATTTCAGCTTGCTCACCCGTTGTCGTCACAGCCATCCCGTGCACTCCAAGCAGACGTTCCCTCACTAGCCAACATGTGCATCCTTCGCCTTCATGGAGACATTGAGATGCCCTATAAGGGAGTCTTGTGGGGCCCCCTAGTCGCCGCCCCGCACCCTGTGACCGAAAAAGGAAGAAGAAGAAGAAGAAGTTTTCTGCAATACCGGTCTCCTGCAACCCCCCCCGTGTTCCCCACATGACAATACATTACATTCACACAGTTTGGTGTCCATCACCTCACTAATACAATACCCGTTCGGCGACCCACTTGAAATGTGCCCTCGCTTCGCATAGTACTTCATGCCACTCTGATAGTGACTCAACCCAGCGTCAGCTCCCCTTTCCTCGTACTGCACTCCCTCTCCATCCCACAGCTAACCGAACTCACGCTATTCGGGTGGGCCGGGCGGGTGCGAAACAAGATAAGGGGGGCGCCAAGGGTCGTGCCTGAAATAGCACTCCCACTTGCCGCCAAACTCCCCGCCAAACCCAAGGGCCAGCTTGACCGGTCCCCTTGGCTGCGCCCAAGGTACAAGGTTCAACCCAAGCTCCCTTGGATACGTCGGGCAGCACTGACCCCGAGTACAGGGGTGACAGAAACCGGCTTAAGACTGGCCCCAAACTGTCCAAAAGGCGGAACGGCCCGACCTGGCCGTTGCGCGCCCTCCCAATCGTCGCCCTTCGCAAAAACCCATTAACAAGATAGTTAATTCCATTTCTGCAATACCGGTCTCCTGCAACCCCCCCCGTGTTCCCCACACGACAATACATTACATTCACACAGTTTGGTGTCCATCACCTCACTAATACAGTACCCGTTCGGCGACCCACTTGAAATGTGCCCTTTCACACTGGAGCACGGTGCAGCTCCTCAGGAGCGAAGGCGTGGTCATGCCTTAGTCACCCACGGGCGGATGACGCCCCTCCGGGGCAGAAGATGTGCCCGTACTGCGCGTGCAAGTCGCGGGCAGTGATCGTCATCCAGCCAAACAAACGAAAGTCCCATTCGGACGGCAGCCGGTACACGTCAATGTACCTCCACATGACGTTACTGCGCCACTCCCCCCAGGCGCGGATGCGGCCTTCAGGCACCTCCAAGGCGTAGCACGCACTGGCGCCCCCACCGCGCAGGCCGTGGTGATCGAAGGGCTCCGGGGGCGGCGAAGGAAGGGTGCGCTGCAGCAGAGGAAACCAGCCGGAAACCGTCCGCGCGGAGGGATCCTGCTCACCAGGGAGCGTGTAGAAATGGGTGGGGGAGGCGCCAGCGTCCGCCCACGCCTTGTCCCGAGCCGCCGACCAGCGGAGGAAGAGATCGATGACGGATGGTGCGCCGCCCGAAGGCCAGGACCGGCACCAGATACGCGGGTCCGTAGAAGCCGAAAGCTTGGTCTGGCGTTCCCGGAAAACTAGGAGGCCGTTCTCCACGCGGAGGTCGTCAAGGAGAACGAGATGGCCACTTTGCGCCCGGTTGAAGAAAAGAAAATCCAGCGTCACCGAGAACGCAGCACGGAGCAGCAGCAGATCGGAAGTCGTCAAGCCAAGGTCTAGGATGCTCTGCAGAAGATCCGTCGGAACCGGCCGATGAGAATGGGCCGGCTCCGGTTCTTGCCGCCTCCACGCGCGGGTAAGGCGCCGGGTGACAGGGTCAAAGGCGGAGAAGTCCAGATGGCCCATTGCTTGGTGGACCATCGAAATGGCAGCCAGATATTGTGGGAGGCTGCGAATGCCCACACGTCCCTCCTCCCGCAGGAACCGGATGTAGCGGTAGATCGTCGAAGGCCGCGCGGGGAGGCTGGCCAAGTCGTGCGCGTCGCAGAACGTAGCAAAGTGGGTGAACTTGGCATGCATGGATCGGCGGGTTGACTCGGTATAAAAGGAAAGAAATTCGGCCTGCATCCAAGACCGATCGGACGCCGACAGTCCGTCCACCTCGCAGCCAAACAGCGGGTGATCAGCGGGCATCTCCTCGACCGGGAGAGGGTCGGCCACCGGCGATGCCGATCGGGAAGAGGGCGTCAGGCGCCCAGAGTCGGATCCCCCCTCCGCGGCCGAATGTGGAAGGCGCGGAGATTCCAACGGGGGGGAGGCAGGACAGCCGGAATCGACGGGTCGCCCGGGAGGAACATCTCCGGGCGGCGAGGAATGAAGAGCTCCGCCGAGGCCATGCGCCGGAGCCGCGGAAACCACATGGCCGACGGCCAATCCGGCGCCAAGACCACCGCCTCCACCGCCGGCCGTTGGCGCAGGAAAGCCACGAGACGCGGAAGCAACGACCAAGGCGGATTCGCCCAGTTGGCCGCGCCCGTCCAGTCTTGGAGGAAGGCATCCACCCCCGAAGAATGGGGCTCGTGGTGCCTCGAATTGAAGGCGGTGCAGAGGGAATTCCGATGGGAAGCAAACCGGTCGATGGTCCGCTCCCCAAACCGGCGGGTAATGGCTTTGAAGATCACCGGATTGAGACGGTAGTGACAAGCTCCGGAATGGTGTTCTCCTTGGACGGGATGTATTCCGGATCGAGCAGCAATGCGCGGGCCGAACAAATCCGCTGCAGTTGGCGGAGCGGCCCGCGGAGTTGGTCGGAACCCGTCGTCATGCTGCGGATACAAAAGAGAACCACCTGCGAATCCACGAGCAGGCGCAGCCGAGCCGAGATCGAGGGGGAAACCGCCGGAAAAAAGGCCCGGATGGCCAAGGCTACCGCCTGCAATTCACGCACATTGATGTGCGTTAACGAGCGATCAAAGAAGCCTCTCGCCAATTGAGGATGATCGGCGTGAGGGGGAGTGAAAGTCGCACCCCAACCCGTCAAGGAAGCATCCGTAGCGAGGGTACCCGCAAAGGGCACCCCGTCGG